TCATCTCTCAAGGGGGTGTCTAACTCGGTGTTACGTGTGTTTGACCCTAAATTAATTATATGCCGTAATATCCCTTTAAATACTAACTAGGATAGGGTGAATCAATGTAGTGCTTAAAGAAAGTCTATTAACAATTCACTGTTCAGTAAGCGGTTCAAGATCAGTCATGATACATGATAAAGATCAGGTCGAAAAAACTAAGTTTTTGGGGTTGCATCCTGAAACACCACTGCCTGAGCTGACAGAAACCTCAACAACACAGTGGTTCTCGTCAGCACTTTCCTTTTTTATTTAATAAAATATCACAAAGAAAATGTTAAAACTATCGATGGATATGACATTGTAACATTGTCAACAGCCCAAGACCTGAAAATTGTACACTAAAGAAACAAGTTATGTTAGCTTGCATAACAAACGCTGTTGTTGACAAAGAAATCAGAAATCCTGCCCCTTCTCAATAACGATCATATTTGCTTTATTTTAGTTTTGAACACTTACATTCTACGAAACTTTTAAGTAGTAGCTGAAAGTTTCTATTTCATGACTACCTTTATAAAAAATGAGTAAGTCACACGAGACTTAAGAGCCATGCCCTGGATCCCATTATAAACTTAAAATCCATGAATGTGTGCTTTATAAAACTCCACATCCTATAAATGGGCATAAAACACTCAAGCAACATATCATTAAGTCCCTGTGGTAACATTAGGTCCATAATTTCATCGTAGTTTCCTCATTTTTGGTGTCACCAGTTTGACCATTTGCAGCAGCCCAGCTCACACTAACAATGCTGAGGAAGGAAAAGAAATGTCCTGGTCTGAGTGGGTCGCTTTTTTCAGTGGTGGAGACAGATGCTTGTTTACTGGCCTCATTATGTCAGCAGCTGTCCTGAGTGGGTCACACAGTGGTCCTCTGTCCACCTACTGAGACCCATAAGTCCTGCACCTGGCCATGGACACATAGTGAAAGGTTTCAAATGCTAGAGAGAGCTCGAGAGGTTCTTTCTTTAAATTGCAGCCACTTCTGTCTCTATGTGCCATTTAAGTGTAATTGGAGCACCCAATAAATAACAACTTAATGGAGGTGGGCATTTCAAGGAGTTGTGAGTTTTTGTCATTAAGGGAATGATTTCACATAATTGAATAATTGAATTGTACACAAAAACGATGGGGAGAAAAATATGTTTTTGTCTTATATTCAAACCTCTATGCGCCTTTTTTATCCATTATCCAATGTAAGTATAAAGGCTATCTACAGAAACATAAAAAATTAACATGAAGTGGTTCACATATTAATCTTCTAGCTTGAATTAAGGCTGTAATAATATGTCTCCTTCCACTTTAAGGCTGTTTTTTTTCAGGTTAGACTCTAAAAATGTGAAGATTGTACATCATTTTTGGTTATTGTTATCTACTATTTAAATCAGTTTTATGAACAGTGTAATTCAATCTGCTTGATTTAACACCAAAATGAAAAATTATAGGTGTCACAGTGTCTTTCTGAAGCGTGTTTTTGCCCCAAATGCGTCCCTGAATGTGTTGTTTTTCCTCTCCGCAGTCCCCACATCTATAATCCCTTTTATTGAAATCCGTGTCACCTGCCGCCTGCGCAGTCCAGCACCCTGAAGCATTAGACGGCTGGCAAAGTGACGGGCACTGCAGTGAGCGGAGAGAGAGGAGGAGACATGACTGTGGTGTCTTTCATTTACTTGTGCTAGTAGGCTTTAAAATTGAGACACATTTGTGACTTGTTTCGTGTGTAAATTTCAAGAGGAAGTGTCCACATTTGAGTTAGTAAAAACACCAAAATTTCCTCTCGCTGTGGCACCAAATTTTCACAGTTAGCCTGACATCTTCCTGTTGTTATGGCAGCACAGTGTCTTCAGGTCTGCCCACACTGTTGGTCAGTGGGATAGAGTCATGGTGGGTATCTTGGCTGGGTGCTTGTTGCCTGTTTCCACATGTATATCTGCATTTTCCACTCCCCCTAAAGCACGCAGCAACACCGGCAGGAGCATTGTGTTTGAGGGAAAGATTGAGATGGAGAGGGTGAGGTAGCCCACGACACGAGGGAGGAGGAGAGAAGACAGAGTGAACAAGAGAAAGGTAGAAAGCCAGAGGGGGAGAGGAGGAAGAGGGGAGGATTGAGCAGCGAGGCAATTTTGCAAACCTGTGACACATTAATTATTAACAAAGTCAGGCTAAATGCGTAAACTCTCCCTCCTTGTTCATTCTCTCCTCTGCTTTCTTCACCTCCTGTGCAAAAATATGACTGTCACATGCTCTCACACATGTATAAACACACAATAACACACACACACAGACACAAACACAAAGCCAAGGGAGGTGGCGTGTGAAGCTCGTAACATGAAGTGGAGCATGTCAAAGGGCTGGGGAAGGTGTCAGGCACAAGGCCCTGCAACGGAGGGAAGAGGGAGCTAGTGAGGATGATACGAGGACGAGGAAGGAGGAGGAGGAGGTGTAAAGCTGAAATGAAAAGGAGACGAGGAGAGGAGGAAAGAGGTGGTTGAGGTACAAAATTTAGAGTAGGACAAGGGAGTAAACCAAGAGGAAAACAAGAGAGGTAGTAACATGTTCTTGGGCGTGTGGAGGTGTGGATCTTTGATTTTTAGAGCTAATGAGGCTTCCAGTTCTGGTCGCGAAAGAAACAAAGATAGCGAGAATATGTGGCGTGACTTATAATGTACAAAAGATTGATAAACAGTGTTGATGTATCACGATGTAATAAGTGCGATCATGTAAGGCACTGAGCTAAATTCCTCCTTTGTTTGGAGAGCTGCGGATCTTTCCTGCAGCTCCGTTAGCTGCTAATCATTAATAGGTGGTCAGTCCATTTGGCATTCAGTATTCTCTAATCAATTGGCTAGAATGTAGCAACAGCATCGCATGAACGTGCCTTAGTGTGTGTGTGTGTGTGTGTGTGTGTGTGAGTGTGTGAGTGTGTATTTGTGTGTGTAGAGGCAGGCGCTGCTTGAGCGGTCACTCTGCCCCTCAGGCAATGGTGTGTGTTTGGAAGGGAATGGATCCTCCCTCAGGAGTGCAGGGAAGAGATGTGTGTGTGCGTGCGTTCGTGTGTGTGTGTGTGTGTGTGTGTGTGTCCCTATGATACTTCTGCTTCAGTCTGTCCCCTCACACAGCAGCTCTAACGGGGTATCTCTGAGCGAATGCAGACAGACAGTATGCAAAGAAAAGGTCATGATAAAGACGGACAATGATGTGTTAAAGATCAACATCATCATGAGCTAATCAATAGAGCTGTTATTATCCTCGTATGCTGAACATAAACATGTCCATGACAGAAATACATTCATGGAAAATTTCTTCCATTACCTATCTAAGCTCATGTGTTAATTAAAAAAGGCTGCAACGTCAATGACCGATACAAAGTCAGAACCGATGCAGCAGAACCGCAGCTTTGCTTCCTCAAACTTTGCTTAAAATTCCATATCGCACAAAACGTACAGCGTCTCAGTTCAGCAATCTCTTAGCTACGTCTTTTTTTCCACTTATCTAGAGTGACCATATTCTGAATCCACAAAAAGAGGACACGACTACACTGGATGGAGTCACAGAGCTGCAGTTAATTTTGAGAGTTTTTCGGGTTGGATCAAGTGTCTTTTACGCACTTCTAATTCAGTAAGTCCATGTGACACAAACTCGAAACTTCTGTACAAAACTACGGACATTTGAAGGATTTTATAAATTTCCCCGGACAGGCCCCCAAAAAAGAGGACATGTCCGGGTAAAAGAGGACATTTGGTCACCCTAACTTATCTACAATTTATCATTGCCGTGAAAGTCACTCTAATTTTGCTCCATAATGTGTCTCAAAACGAGGATAAACAGGTTTGGTCATGACGCTGTGAACAGTATCAGAGGGAAAAACAGCAAAAACTAACATCAAACTGCCACAGTCCTGGTAGCTGGTCTTTATCGACACCAAACTGGAATTAGCAGAAAGAAGCATTATAGGCAAAATGAATTACAGTATGACTGTTGTAGACAAGTGACAAAGCTTGTTTCAGGAATGCATTAGTTGTTTTTAGGTGACAGACTAGATGTGCAGAGGGGTAATTATTATGGATTTCAAATGTCTGTCAACAATTTCATCTCATCATCACCTTGTTATTAAAAAACAAAACCTACGTTAGTCTGATTTTTTGTTATTAGTGGTGAATCATATCTCGTCACGGTCCCATCTTTGTTGGTTGGCTGGAGCAGCAAAACATTATCACCTTGTCGAACAGTTGCCTGCAGGCTAGCTAATATTAGCATAATGATACAGTGAATAAATGCCCATTCAGAGGCTGAAACTGAATTTTATGCTATAGAGACACTATGAGGGAAAAATTATCAGTGGTTTTGAAACCGTAACTGTTTCAAACTGTGGTTTACCTTCAAATCACCTACCAGACCCACCTAGATGAATCTAGCAGACACCAAAGGTTCATCTTAACTGGTGCAGATTATCCCATGAAACCAGTGTTTCACCGAGGATTTAACATCTACTCAGAGTCAAGCATTAGAAGTACTACAGAGATTTGGTAAACTCACTTCTTTCCACAACACTTTAATACTTTTTGGACTCTGGTAACATCACTTGACATTCTTAGTGGAACTCCGGTTTGAGCCACAAAGAACTTTGTGTTTCCAATATCAGGGCATGTAAACACACTTTGATGAGTGAAACCTTTGTTTTAATTAAACTTAAATTCAGAAGATTTTTTGCGATGCAAGATGGCACAAAAATAGTATCTAGATGTAATGAGTGTAAAAATACTGTTAGCCCTGTCTTATTTTTCCCTATGAAAGTAAAGATAAAGTGGACGGTTGGAATAAAAATAAATTTGTTTTCTTCTCTTGGACTAGGAACATTCTACTTTTTTCAAAATAGGGAATTGATCGGGATGAAGACATTAAGGAAACTGAAATATTCAACATGTGAGCTCAACCTACCACAGAGTCCAAGTAAACAAAAAGGCTTCTTGAACACCATAATGTAAGTATTTCTCCCAGAATTGATTTTTACTTCTTTTGTTTTATTCTTTTGTGCCACCTCATTTCACTCAGTCCAAAGACCAAAGCAATGCACTTGTTTTCATAAAATATCAAATATGCTAATGCACAACGAATGGCCATATGTGATTGTTTGCACTTCGTGTAACAATGGGCGAATTTACATCTCAGTCAGCGATAGAAAATCACTGCAGCTAATGGGTGTTTGACATTTCTGTGATTTTAAGTGTAAAAACAGTGGTCTTTGTTTCCAATTCAGTTTAATATTAAACTTTTCTGTGACGTTTAATTACTTCTCAACCTTATGGTGTGCCGTGTTTAATTCAAATCTTAGCTGTAGTCTGTTTCATATATTCATCACATTTTTAATTTTCTTTTCAGAGAGGATCTCCACTCATCCTTCACCATATGTACAACAACAGCAGCTCTATCAGACTGGTATTGTTGTAATGTGAGACTGTGTTTCACTTCTTCAGCCCTGAAAGACCTCAAAATATAACAAGGTCAACAGACTGGTAGAGACGTACAGCTCAAGATGTCATGAAAGCCAAAAAGAATCCATGCAATCAGTTTAATGACTTGACCATAATGATGTTTTAAAAACTCGCTTGGTGTGTCCAAAACCTTTACATTTTTTGGCAAACATGATCCTTTAATGCGTTCTTTCTGTAACATGACAAACTGAAGTGAAGGAGATCCTCCGCTGTTATCTGCTCTCGTCCATCTGCGCCGAGCTGTGCGACTTTGCCGATGGATGCGATAATGCCATGTTGACTTTTATGCATGAGAAGACCTCAGACCTGGGTGCTGTCCAGCTCCTCATGCACTCTGCATCACCCGGAAGCTTTACTTCCGTTTATTTGTTCCAGTCCTAGTTAGATGACACATTGATGGAGCATCCTGAGAGGACAAAAGTCACCAAAAATATTGCTGTTAGAATTCGTACACATCGACATCTCAGGGCTATAAAGTAACCAGCTGAAATATTTAGCAAGAATTTCACACAGGTCCGTCATGATGATTTTGTGCGGACAGAAATATGTGTGTGAGGATGAATAAACAAACAAGGTTTCTGCTCTCTGCTCCTACGGTCTGCGTCAGGCTTCCTGTCATTATCCAGAACCACGTCACTGTCACACTGTCTTGACTGCATAAACTCATTTTTGTTTATCATATAAAGACTGAATCTTTCTTGAGTGTGGACAACATGATGGAAAAATACAACCCTATCAGAATCAACTTAGACTGTCATGATATCAGATTTTCAACATATGATTATCCATCCATCCATCCATTTTCTACCGCTTTTCCCGTTGGGGGTCGCAGGGGGGCTGGAGCCTATCCCACCCTGGACGAGAACCAGATCATCGCAGGGCTGACATATAGAGACGAAAAACCATCCTAACCCCACTTCTGCATGTTTTTAGGATGTGGGAGGAAACCAAAGTACCTGCAGTAAACACATGCAAACTCCACACAGAAATGCCCTGACCCAGATTCAAACCCAGGACCGTCTTGCTGTGAGGCGTCGGTGCTAACGCCCCCTTATGATTATCATGGTCGTAAAATCTCAGGATCTGATATTATTTAGGGAAGGCAAGACGAGCGTGGAGCAGCATATTACTTCATAATACACAAAACTATCTTAGATGTCACCATCCATTTGTAATGGTGTTTAACTTCATGTTTTATCTTGTGACAGAAACTTATATGTGGAAGGTATTGCCACAATTGTAACAATTAAAAATTCATGGCGTACCATAAGTTTTATTAAATGAAAGACTTAACGTGGAACTACAAAAACGTACTTTGAAAAATGTCCAGTTGAAATCTTGTGAATGTGTGCGACCAGAGACAGGTGAGACAATAAGACGCAGGTGCAGACAATTGGTAGGAGGGAAAACACAGGAAGTCAAACTAAACCAGAAACACAAGGAGAAGGAACTACAAAATAAAAGAGGAAACACTGAACACTAACCACACGGAAAAAAACTCTGAAAACATGAGGAGAACGGGATCGTAGACAAACTGTGTACACACAGGAAACAGGAACACAAAGGAATTATTCACCAAAAATGAAACAGAAGAATGAAAAAAACAAAATCATGAGGGTAAATCATGACAAATTTCTATCTTGGGTTTCAATTAATCAATTTCCTACAATTTCTGGTAGATTGTAAGTTACATAACTGAAGGAAAACAGCTCTAAGAACAGTCCGACAGAATAAATATTCAGTTGATTTGTAACCCCAAGAGGCTAGCGCTCTAATGTTTCTTTTGCATTCACAGTAAGTCTCAAACATCAGTTTTAAAAGTGTCTAATTATCTCATTGAGCGCTGCTTCAGCTTGTTTGCAAGCAGTCAGCCACTTCTTTATCCCTCCTTTGTGCTTTGATGTCTTGACTACTACTATAAACTGACTGTATTACTGTATGCTTATTTTTAGCACAAAATCAATATTTAACTTTATATTTAAAAAGCCAGTCATCTCTTTACTGTCTCGGTAAATAAAAATGTAAATGTTGAAGCTTAAACAGGATTGCGGTGACACACTCAGAAAAAGAAATACTGGGATATGAAACACAAAGAACAAACTCCACTGGTTTGAAGTCTGCCGTGCTGTCCAAACTGTCGGAAATCTACCAAGATATGTAATTAAAAAGGCAAAAAATCTGTGAAATTCATTGTTTTTTGGGGTTAGTGATAATTTAAAGGGATATTACGGCGTAAAATTAATTTAGGGTCAAACACACCGTAACACCGAGTTGATCATAAATGTTCTTCCTTGAGCTGTGTCACCCCGCTGCAGTCGGTGATGGACTCGTCCAAGGTCTCACTAGGAACAAGCGGCTGCTGGAAGAGAGTAGGTGAGTTGTGTTTAGTCTCTTTGCTAAAGAAATTAGGCAAAGCTAAAAAGATGTTTGGTGGCTAGTGCTGTGCCTGGGCTACTTAGGCCACTGTGTATTGCTACAGTGCGGTTGTTACTAAAGTTGGTATAACTAGAGAAGCAAGAGGTCGGCAACATTCATCTCTCGAGGCGGGGGTCTAACTTGGTGTTACGGTGTGTTTGACCCTAAATTAATTCTACACCGGAAAAACCCTTAAAGTGTTTTCTCTTGTATGGCTGTCAACATTTGAGCATTGGTTATCGTCAGCAGGGCACTGACTACTTTTTATTCCATCACCTTCGCAAGAGATGGGAAAATGTAGCGTAGGACAAACTTGCAGAAATACTTAATAAGAAAGAGAGCATAAAATGACATCTGTTTCCATTTCTGAGAGATTTCTGCAGCTCATACGCCTGAAACCTCTGCAGACAATGAGAAGGTAAAAAGGCAACAGAGTGAGTCAGCATGAGTCATGTTTTGAAATCTTGCCTGGACGATTAAGTCTCACCTGAAATAGTGATAATGTCACACACCGAGCTCTCAGCACCTTTGTCGTACCGTATCTGAGTGTGACACACAGGAAGTGATGGCTGCTCACCAGCTCTGAGAGTCTGATTATAACAAATCCTCAGGATGTTCAATAACGCAGGTGTCTGAATGCAGGTTGAATGTCAGTGTTTGAGGCGCAGTCATTATGCTGTCACACACTGGCTGCACACCCACACCTTTCTGCAACATCTTCAGCTGTTTCCATACTCAACAACAACCTTTACAGATCTGAAGGTCAAAAGGTCACCCACCAGTGTGAGAAGAAACAATCCTCAGAGCAGCTCAGAAATGTGCTGTAATCTGAGTCAACTCAATCCGCTGGTCGAGCCTTGGGTTTATGACTCAGCTTTGGGTGAACTGGTTTAGATAACTTTAATTGAAACAAAATAATTTTTCTCAAACTTTACAAATACTTTAAAGTTACCTTTAACTGGTATTTCTTACTCTGGGCCTCCACTTAGTTTTTCTGCTTTCTTTCACTTTTGACTTTCATTTTCTCAAAGGACAAATGACTTAAAATGAAGAACCCAAACACAGACAGGGCGCAGTAGAAAATATACTTCAAAATGTACTTTATTTTATGTATGTACTTATTGTTTAATATAACAAGAAGCCATTACCATGAATTATTTAGGAATAACTGCATAGGAATTATTTGGAACTTTCTGCTGATGTTGTTGGAGGAACCTAAAGAGTTTTGGGAGTTATTTAAAGCCTGATCTAGAGCATTACTTTGATAACTTAAAATCAAACAAAGCCAGGAGCAGAATTCCTCTCATCCCACATATTATCTTAAAACCAAAAAACAAGGAGAATTGTAAACAAGAAATTACTTATTATAACTTAATATTGCCAAATTAAAATGAAACTGTAAGAATTACAGAAACTGAAAGATCGACTGAAATGTTATTCAGGTTATGACTCACGTAAGCATCAAACGTGTAGATAAATTACAGTGTTTTTAGTTCTCTGTGTTCTAGCTTTGACTGTTTTCACTTGTGCATCTTATTTTTTCTTTGCCTGTTTCATTGAATGTCAGAGTACAACTTTTACAGCAATCGAAAGCAGTTATCTCGATAAGAGGGAGTGCTTTTATAGCAATTGTAGGACAAATAATCATCAGAGAACAAATCTATCAACCAACTATAGTGTTTTTTTTATCCTTAGTGATTCTTTTATCCCTTACAAACAAATCCACAGACCACTGATAAATGCATAACCTTTAAGCTTCTCTTTTCATTCAGCTGTGAAGATATTTTCAACAACAAAGGTAGCTGTTATGTGATAAAAGTTGGCAGCTTTAGCTGTAGTAGATAAACACAAGAACAACTTCCACCGCAATACAACATTTCTGATGGTTTTGTTCAAAGTGATTCCTGTGAGATGCTGCTCTGTTGATTAAGAAATACTGCTGTTCTTTGTGTCACAGCATAAGATCAAAAACATAATGCAAACAGTGATTTCATGCAACTGCAGCGGCTGATTCTACAAAAAGGTTTCATGTACTGCTTCAGTCGCGGTGTCTTTAACAGGCGTCTCGTCATAATCAAAATCCAATTTCACATTTTACAACAGAATTACAATACGATCCAATTAGTAAAATGCCACTGATAACTTTTATTAATGACCTCTTCTCTATTGAATTAACTGCTTTTATCTTGAGACCCTGTCTAGTTTCAATTGATTTAGAGGGGTGATATTTAATGTTTAACCAGGAACAAGAAATAACCAGCTTGGTACAAAAAACAAACACAAAACAAAAAGAAAATATAAAAAAAAACAGTTCAAGATTTTGATCAAACCCGGTGTATTCCCCAAATTATTAGGCAAGGAATGGCTTATAAGAAGAATTATTAATATTTGGAGTAGAGATAGACTGATGTGCTGGTTGGCCAATTAATGGCATTTTGAGATAATCAGCATCACATTGGCATTGATGGCTCACACGGTCAATTTTGCCATCATTGTTTCTAAATGACAACAGTTTTTCTCCCCCTGAATGGGAGCATCATGATAAATCTCAAACACTTTCTGACTAGTGTTTAATACGAATCTGTTATGATTTATATGATACTGCTGTTTGGCGTTACTTCTGGTAGGAATACTAGTCATGCTCTGAACTTTATTTCACAGCCCAATAATTTCACTTTTTAAAGAAAATAATCAAAGATCTGGGTCAAACAGATCACTGGTCGGAGTCATTGTTTATCAGATAGAAATGAACACGAAATAATGCAATCACACATGACTTTCACACATGAGTTTTAAACCCAAATATTTAGTGTTCATTTGTAGATATCTGTCCAGTCTTCATTAACAGCACTCAGAGGAAACAAAAACCTCTTAAGATTCTCATCCCTGAGCTCTTCACACATGGATGACTGTAGGAGACGCATTGTACTTGGACAGTGTCACTGTGGCTCTCTGTTGGCTCTGCCTCTGTGGAAGGGGTCCCTGTGGACACGATCTCTGTGGACTTCTTACTGTCAGCTGCTTTGTCTAAGGAGAGGGGGAAGGAGGAAGCACAGCTTGAGGTAGCCATTGACTGTGCGAATCACCGCTGCAGTTACCTCTGTTTCATTCATCATTAAATTATGACTCTGTTTATGTGATTGTCTTACAATTTCTGTTTTTAACTCATACACAAAGATGCTGTGACAGTACTTGACCAAACACAGCAAAGACAGCTGTTTTGACCAAGTAGATGATGAGGACGGTCTCTCTGGCCCGACAGCTCACCATGGCAACACTTCCTACTGTGCAGGCCCTGCAGCTGCATCAGTCTCTGCACACTGCATGCAAACCAGGACTCCAGCATCCCTAACTCACACCCCCCTGAGGAGTACAGCCACAGCCACATCCCTCCGTAGGTGTGTACACATACACACACTGACACACAACAGCTGTTTCGTATAACTTCAGGTTCTTGTGAAGAAGATAACTCAGTCTTTACGGACTCTCAGTCAGGGGTTACATAATTTTATCGATGAAAGGTAGAGTTGAATTAGTGCTTTGGTTCAAAGTGTTGGTATACGTATAAACTGCCTACAAGCCGTGCTGCCTCGACAGTTCAAACTAGAGAGGCCACCTGCAGCTGCCTGCTACCCTAAAAACACTTGTTTTTACAACTTCATGAACAGAATGAGTGGGCAGTAGTCAGAAGTTACACTCTTTCATGCTACTGGTCAGATTTTACCCGAGAAACTAGAAAATGTCCACAACAGCTGATCTGTGTGTGCTGTTAACATCCATTACTCCCTGTCACGACTTGTCTAACAATACGCTGTAATCACCATATTGTGTTGTGCCATTACTGGATTGTGTCTAAATTACATAGTTCAACCCCAATTCCAGTGAAGTTGGGCCATTGTGTTAAATGTAAATACAACAGATTACAATGATTTGCAAATCCTTTGACCCATATTCAGTTGAATACACTTCAATGATAAAATATTTAATGTTCAAACTGATAAACTTTATTGTTTTGTTGCAAATATCCACACATTTTGAGTTTGATTCCTGCAACACGTTCCAAAAAACAGGGTCATGTTCACCACTGAGTTACATCACCTTTCCTTATAACAACACTCAATAACTGTTTGGGAACTGAGGACACTGATTATTGAAGCTTTGGAGGGATCAGATTGATGAGTCACCTAAGTTGCTCAACAGTCCGGGGTCTCCGTTGATGTTTTTTGTGCTTCATAATGCACCACACATTTCAATGGGAGACAAGTCTGGACTACAGGCGGGCCAGTCTAGTACCCGAACTCTTTGTAACTCATGCAGAATGTGTCTTGGTAATGTCTTGCTGAAATAAGCAGGGACATCCTTGAAAAATATGCTGTACGGCAATCCGTATGGTCCTTCTTGTCTTCAGCCCGGAGGACATCACGTCAGATCACAGCACACTTTTCACTTTGCGTCAGTCCATCTCAGATGAGCCGATTATTGATATCTGGCTTTGCATTGTAGAGTTTGAACTTGCATTTGTAGATGAAGTGATAAACTGTGTTAAACGACAACAGTTTTCTGAAGAGTTCCTGATCCCACATGGTAACATCTTTTACAGAATGGTGTGGGTTTTTAATGTAGTGCTGCCTGAGGGGTCAAAGGTCATTCCTCAAAATTTCCCAGTCTTTTGATACCTCTGTCCCAGCATGTCGCAGGCATCAGATTTCTAAAGAGTGAATATTTACAAAAAACAATCAAATGTTTCTGTGTGAACATTAAATATCTTGTCTTGTCTTCAAAGTGTATTCAAAGGATTTGTAAATCATGTACTCTGTTTATATTCACCTTTTAAACACTGTGGGCTCTATTTTGGTGCCTCGCCGGAGACGTGCCGCAAGCGCAGCGTCAGTCAGATCCGCCGTGCTGACAAGGCGTTCCCAAGCACATTTTGGTATTTTGGTGAGCCGCGCAGCCCGGCGTAAGTATCCCCCCTCCCTAACTCAGCTCCTCCCAGCACCATAAGTCGTAGACTGGGAGGACAAAGGCCGTATAGTGGGTTTAACACAGCCGGGACCTGTTTTCACCAATCACATAGGCTCCTCTCCTTGCCTTTAAATCCGCCACCGGCGAGGCGTATTACTATTTTCATGAAGTAGTCAAAGAGATCAAGAGATGTCTTAAGACAGTAATGCCACAAGATGGCGACAGAGGGCAGCTCCTCAACAAGTGTCCTCCACACTCTCTCATATGAGCACAGATGGATTTAGTGTGCGTAATGTTGGACCCACTGGTAAGACAAACGCCCTTTTCCACAAATAAAGACACTCACATAAAGTTGCTCATATTCAAACCTCACGTGACAAAGGTGGGTTGAGCGCACAGATCACAACATAAACTCCAAAAATGGCATTAAAATCGGAACCATCTGTGTGTAAATGACGCATCGCGCTCCGTGGCCTGGCTCTTTCTTTCATAGATGTTGGCATATAAAATAAATTTGGCTCACAAAACTGAATATTATAATATCCGTATGTCGGCTTAAAGTAGATAACGCATCTGAGCACTGAAAAAAAATCATCTGTTCAGCCGCAGCAGCAGCAAGACGGACAGAGGACATGGAGACGTGTCCAGGTCGGGCTGTGCGAGAAAAAAGAGGAAGAGGAAGAAAGAGAAGGAGGGAGACGAATTACATATCTTGTTAACTTCATCATGTGTGTTTATTTACTAGATATTTAATTTAATTTGATGCGGTTTCAGCTGTGTTGATTCGGTCAGGTTGTGTGTCCAAACGCGTGCCAAACGCGCTCATCAGATCAGATATAGATCAGAATATATCGATATAGATCTAAATGTATGTGCTGACTCAGATTAATAGTTGATGATTATTATTTATTGCACTGAAATGTGCCTGACACTGTGGAAACCTGCCGGTGAGGCATCAGTGACGTATGTCGATACGCCGCCGGTCTACCAAAATACTACCAGACCAGCTGCGTTCCGCCTTGCGCTGAAAGCTGACCAGGTTTGAATCGGCGAGCTTTCAGCGCACTTTACACGCCGTTGGCGAGCACGAAAATGTCACTGCGCCTGCTGATTCTGTCGACACCTCCCCCTGCCACACCACCACACCCAGCTTGGCGGATCTCGGCTCGCCTCCGTGCGGCTCATGCCACGAAAATACCAAATTGGCCTTACGCTGGGCTCCACCAGACGAAAATACAACTGCGCGGGGCTCGCCGCCCTCCGCCGCCTCACCGGCGCGCACGAAAATAGAGCCCTGTGTCCCAACTTCACTGAAATTGTTATTTGTAAATCTGACCATATTTTCACTGAATGTAACAAAGACAAAAATAAAAACAGTCCATTGAGGTTAAAGGTCAAGAACAATGGAAAGGTCAAACTTGTGGTGATTTATTCACAACCTGTGTAAAACTTCTTGGCTGCTTCCCAAACTATATACTGTTGAAAAATATTGTGCCTCTGTGTGATAGTTCTGTTTGTACATATTCAAATGAGCCATAATGCATTCATCTCTGGAGCAAAATTGGCCCCTTTCTTTGCCAATGAACCTCATTTCAAAAAAAGGGTCTACTTCTCAGACTCCGGTGCCAACGGCCTCACTCTGTTCAAATGAAAGTTTCGCTGTTTGCTGCAGTAATTTTAATCGGTGTCATGGTCGAACTTTCCACTGATAATGACAACATTTCCAACTCTAGATGACCTAAAATTATACATATGTACATAACATCTGAATCTTCTCTGCTGCTCTTGCTCCAAGTAAGAAAACCTATTACGATCAATAAAATCCATGCCATAGCTGTCATAACTGACCTCAGAATAAGTTCATATTTTTGTTCATTTGTTACCCTCTGCACAAACATGCACATAGGCTGTTTTTTCCATTTTCTTCTACATCTCAATGATTACTTCCTGAAATACCTGATTCATCAAGACGAACAGTAACACATGGAGAAATGACCACATGGTATGATAATACAAAACTGACAAAATGTCATGTTTTTCACAAAGCACACCATTCTGTAAGTTCTTCTCAATTTAAAGACTGTAGAGGATCACCGACTATATCGAATCGATATATTGAGTTTTAGCAGGTTTAGTGTAAAGTTGTTTTTTTTTTAAGAGTACTTTATTTTTTATTTATGTTGTCCAATGTGACGCATGGCTGAATATTGACAAAGGCGTGTGTTGTTCATATACATTTTCAGAGTAAGCAGGATTAACATGGGAACAGCATGGAGCCTGTGTCTTTCCTGATTGGTTGGACTTCTTCACCGTATACCCTGCTCTGTGCATGAGACCGAAAATACATACGTACAAGCTCAACTGTGAAGGTCCTCTCAAAGTGGATCATGCACACACACGCACACACAGACACATACACACATATCCACGCGCACACACTGAGCCCCTGGTTTGTCCCCCTGCCCACTTCCTCTGCAGCCTATGGTGCTTCCGCTGGGGTGAGACAGTGCCAGCTCCCTCCCTCTGCTTCCCAGTGGGGTCCTGCCTCCCGGCATCTGTCAGGGCAGCTGTCTCTCCTCTCCACTCTGCACTGCACCACACTATGCCAGGCCTGCACACAGGATCAGGAGCGCACGCATAGACACACACTCACGCGCATTCATGGAAACACGATAGGACGCGTCCTCTTAGCTTTATTTTCTGGAGATGAAAGATTTTGTGCGACTGAAGAGCCAAATTCAACCAATTGATTCTGAGCACTGAATCATCTGGATCTGCAAGAACTCTCCTGCAAAGAGCACTGAAGTCATGTTAAACACACAAAAATCTAAAGTTCTAGATCTAAAATCTTAATCATTTCAACACAAACTCAGCAGTTAGTTATATATGTATATCTCCTGTCACCTGACTGTGTCATGATTCTCATAATCCCTCTAGAGGTGCTATATTAAAGTAGATATTTATAGTGTTATTAGGATATGAGAGTGCAAAGAGTGTTGGCAGTGTCGACACTGAAAAAAAGATGAGGTATAAAAATGTGTTTCCAATCCAATCAGACTCCAGTAGGTCACAAAACCAGCTGTAACCGCTGTTTTCTCTGTTGAAACTTGCACTCCGACTGGCCTCGTATTATTCAATTTCATTCGATATTCATATGAATAGAGTTGGAAAGAGATTGGAGACCTAACAGCCAAAGAGGGAAGAAAAGAAGAAAAAAAAAAACAAACAAACCGGAGAGCAGAGAGGAAGGATGGAGGGGAGCTCAGGTCCAGGTGTGCCAGAAGCTTCAGGAAGTAAACATACAAGCAGTGAGCTGCACAGGTGTTGAAAAATGATCTGCTTTCTGGTGAGGCGCAGCAAGGCTGAGAGAGAGAGAGAGAGAGAGAGAGGACTGTGTGTTTTCTGTGCATGAGTGAGGTAGGCAGGGGGTCAGTGGGGGTGGATGACACTGAAACAAGAGAAGGAATATGCACAAGTAGCGGCAGAGTGGTCCAGAGAAGGTTGGAGAATTGACTGCGAGGCTGGAATAAAACCAGCACCGAATCCCTCCTCCAGATTTTGTCAGAAAATGCTCATAAACACACAAACCCCTGTCACTCCCTCCCTTACCATATACTCCCACAGGTTGCATGCATGCACACACTAATGCTCACACGCACGGGAACACAAAAAGTGTGCACATTAGACAAAATCACAAACGTCTCCACTCCACCCCTCCCCTCGGGGTAGAGGTCCATCCAACACAGATGTAGCCCTGATTAATTGGGCGCAGCACAGGGAAGTGGGTCTGGAAACTACCTGGCAATTTCCTGCAGTCTGCCCCCCGACTCCCCCACCCCACTACTTTCTCCCCCCACTCTTCCACCTCCTCCTCCTCACATTTGGATCACGTAAGTCAGCAGGTGGGCTGCTGGGAGGAGTGTCTGCCGTGTGGCGTTGATATTCTGCCTGCGTCCGGCTCGCTGGGCGCCCTACATTGCAGGCTCTCCCTCTGGCAGTGCTCGCCTTGGCTCTGGGCTGAGTGCTGGAAAACGCTGAGAGTCTGACAGACTCCATGGGCGCACGTACAGGTACACACACAACACACAAACACACACCCAAACACACTCACACACAGCCATGCAGAGAATGGACCACTCTCCACTGCCCAGCAGAGCACATCATAGAGCGAGAGAGGGGGAGAAAAGGAGGGAGCAGAGGAGGGAAAACAGAGCTGGTGGAAGCAGAGAAATGGACAGACACACTGTATTTACCTCACACTTTTTCAGGAAAGCATGTGGATTACCCAGCGGACTCAGGGAGGCTTTTTAATGAAAGCACAGGAAGGGGGCAGCAGCTGGTGGCATGTGTTTGAGCCGGGAGGATAAGACCCCTTGTGCTTGGCTCGCCAGCCCCCCTTCCTCCTCTCTCTCTCAACTCTCTCTCTTCCCTCACTCTCTCTCTCTCTCTCTCTCTCTCTCTCTCGTGCTTTCCTCATCTCCTAACACTCCCTTCATCCTCCCCCGTCCAACCCCCCCCCTCCCACAGAGAATGAAGTCCTTTGTCCGTTCCACTACTGCCCGTCCTGGAGCTGGGCCTGAGCCGCAGGGGCCTTCTGGTCAGCCAGCATCAGAACCAGAGCAGAACCGAGTTGAGCCCCCCTCGCAAGCAGCTCTGGCTGCACAGTCCGCCTCCACAGACCAACACAAGTCCCCGATCACCCCGTGCTGGGAGAGGGAGAAGAAGAAAAATGAGCAAAACAGACAGAGACATCAACAGAGTTGTTGGACAATACCAATGAGAGGGATGGACAGAAGGAAAAACACAGAGGAGGGTGGCCAAGAGTGCGACAGAAAGAGGGGACATTTCACTCTAAAGTTATGTGGCAACAAGATGTCTTACTCTGAAAAGGAAAAACTGTGCCCAAGTTAACAAAGGAGAAAATACTGCTGTCAGAACGCACCAAAACATTTCCATATGTTATGAAATTAACACATAAATCTGCCAAGTGGATGACCTGTGCTTACAGGCACGTTGGATAAAATAGAGTATATGTTTTTACCTTACTCAATATTCAGAACCAGAATTAAAACTGCAAGACAAAATAACTTAATAAACATGAATGTTTCACTTATGAAAATATCTTATTAATTTTTAACCAACTTAAAAAAGTAATTTAGGGAAGAAATCCCTATGTGGTAAACAACACTAGAGAGTCACTCCAGAGCTGTTAGCAGTATCCAGATCAGGTTTCTTACACTGAATTTTGTGTATCGATAAACAGACATGAGGCTTTTCTTGTCAGAAAGCTTGGTGCGTCAAAAACCTTGCGTGTTTTTGGTAATAGGATCTTCATCACCTTGTTTCCCCTAAATCTCTCAACCAGTGTTATAGCTGAGTCATCAAACTTCAAGTTCAAGTTGAGTCACAAGCTCTCAGTGAACAAGTCTTCGCCAAATCTGTGTCAAGCCAAGTCCACATTGAATCCTCATTACCAGAGTCAGTCTGAGTAAAGTCCCCATATCTAATAATACTATTCATCATAATTTGATTGCTGTTGCACTGCGGATTAATCACTGTATGAACCTCAACCAGCTGTTTGGGACTTCTTGGATGTAGAAAACACATTTCATTTATCAATATGTGATTCTGACTGATTCTGTAGGCGTATCTGATGATTTAAATCATCGATATGTGACAAAACTATGCGTTGTGTGTAGATGCCCATCATGCCTCCCTTGATACGGATGATGAGTACATGGATTCTGATGCATTAGGACCACTCCAGGTATTGAACAAACTCAAAAATACCCACAGCCCACTCTGGATTAATCAGAATTTATTAACTGACCAGAGGCCTTTGACTCAGCGGTTGACTCACTTCAACTACGAACATTACCATTGGCTTGCTAATAATATTGTAATCAGCAGTTCATGTAGGCAGTTTTCTGGATGCATACTCAACAGCTTGTCCCTGTCCTTCTCTCTGTGTTTTTATTTTATTTTTTTACCAAAATGTTGCACTGCTCTTGCTTGCATGTATTGTGAAACAGGGGATGATATCTAGGCATGATCTGACTGTCTCATTATTGATCAAACTAGAGATGTGTACTTGTACCTAACACAATGACTCTTAAGATCCTTGATTAAATCGGTTGTGTTAAATTTTGCTGTCTGACTGCCACTCCTCAAAACAATGTACATATCACAAGTTCTTGTCAAAGTTGTCAAGTGTGAAATATCTCCAAATATCCCAGCCCATATAGATAACTTCCAAAATCAGCTCTCTGCGGACCTCCTGACTGTCTCATGTAGTATTCACACGTGGTTGTTGTAAAGAGAACATCACAGCTAGTTTCAGAGTAAACTTGTTTCATTACTCTGAGTGCTTGTTGCACCTCCACCAAGTTATATTTTGCTAATGCCAATCCATCCACTTAAAGCCAGTCTCACACTCTGGCTATTGAGTATTGGATTAACGGATCTCTTGTCCTGGACTTGAGTTCCACTCCTAGATTTGAGTAGCACTCAAACATACTGTTTCTCAGTCTGACAAGTTTTTTTTAGGGTCTGCATTCTTAATAATCACAATTACAGTACGAGCAAAAATATATATATATAAAATCTAAGTTTGAACTTTCATCTTAGAGGTTTCAAGGTTATCGCTGAATGGGTTTTCAACAACGCCTGGGTGCTTTTTGTGGATGAAATCTAAGTTTTTGTGAGTGGCTGATCCAATGGGCACTTACGCCAACTGCAGCTCCTGTAGTATTGAAGTCGAACTCACAGCTGCTGTTGCTCTTGGTTAAATACTTAAGCATTTATAACATTTATCCACATAACATTCAAATTATTTTTCATCAAATTTACTCCAAAAAGCACTCCTTTTGTTGTTTGGGTGTTTCCAATGACTGTCAATCAAAGCTGAAACTAAATTTGTGCCTTTCTACCCTACATAGTTTGTTTAAATTGTAAGAAGAGGAGGAAGTGGAAGCCCTGTCAAGAGGGAACTTTTGTCACTAAATGGTAAAGCACAAAATAATTAGCTATTCCTGCAATAGTTAGCAGTTAGCATATACGGATGATACGCGCTTGTGCTTCTTTACAAAGCTATGAATGCCTTAGTAAAATAAAAGTTATGTGGCATCATAACAGAACTATTGATATCAAGTAAAATGAACTTTTTCTGTTTTTTAGTAAAACTTGTTTTCTCTTACTTCTAAGATCTACTACTATGTGCTCTCAACCTAAAATAACAAGTGTGAGGGCTTTTGTAGATCTGGTTTTACATCAGGCTCTATGGCTTTCTTACCCTACTGCAGTGGTCAGCTACACATTATGTATCTGAGATCTCTACTACAATAGTGCAAAAAGAAGATGTACGAAGGGATAAACAGAGGAACAAAAGGGCCCACCAAGTCTCCACTAAACGGTTATTAGGTGTACTGAAAAGTCAAAATACGTTCAAATCAGGACAAAAACCCAACATCAAATGGAAAACTTTCACACTCTGAAAGATGGAGGGGAAAATTGTAATCCCCCATTTCCAAGACACTGACTTGTGATGAGCTGTGTAAAATGTAATTAAATGTTGACAATCGTGGAGTTTTCGTGGCTTGAAAAAGAAAAAGTTCACAATTCATGAAATTAACAATAAAGGCATGTAGTGTTTAAAACCTAAAGAGTTGGACTCACATTTTTAAGATTAATTTGATTTCCACTACAAATGGTGTTCGAAGCGGATCAGATGCGCACGCTGTCAAGGTCTCTCCTAACCTGAATGGTTATTTCATTGAATGTTGAACCCTTTTATCTGTCATTCTCTGTTATCTCTCGCTGTGTGTTCATTCAGGCGCAGGTATGTGTGGGAACATTTTTTTGTGATCTGTACAAGTGTGATCATTGTTCCCTGATCTCTGAACTCAGGGCTGCTATTTCTGCTTTGTGCCTCTGTTGAGTTGCTGTAAGAAAAAAAAACACTTGATATTCGGGTACAATTCATAAGCTTAAAAACTTTATGAAGTCATTCTACTGGGGTATGTTGGGGAACTATGATGAATGTTGCTTGACATAAATAGCTAACTATTCTGTCTTCCACTCTCTTGTAACAAAGCTCATAGTCTGCGGTCAATTTCAAAGTAAATTGAATGTTTGCTTTCTTTCACGTTGGCACCTTGTCTACACATCAAGCATGTTTTGTGTCCAAAGTTGACACAAATCATTGCTTCAAAGTTGGTTTTAGAGAAGCACTCTATGTATCTACCATTATGAGACACTGAGGACTGGGTTCTTTCACTTACATTTCACCTTATTGATATTACTTAGATTGCTGCTTCAAGTCTGTATGCCATGTATTTATAGGAACCTGAACTCGACTCCCCACGTACCAGAAATAAACTGAAGCACTGTGGTATTACAACTTATGTTTGCCCTGTCAACACTCTCAACATCTGCTTTTGAATGTTATTATCTAATAAACTAAGAAAAGTGTTAAAATAAATTATGAACCATCATTATTTTTTTTCCATCTTTCTCTTTTTAAATGAAATAATAAAAACATGTAGGTTAAAGGCACTGAGAGAAATTTTTAACTAGTTGAAAACAGGCAGAACTGAAACAGACACCCTTTGATGACTTTCAAAAGCAGACCATCGGCAGCAAGGCTAAAAAAAAATTAAAGTTGTAATTTTTAGTGAATGGAAACAAGAGTAAACACCAGTGGTTGATCAATAAAGAAATTAAGGGAAGACAGAGTGCAGATAAAGTTTTTATTTCACAAGCTGTTATGCTCTTAACAACTTATAAAGCTGTACAAACCTTAGCACAGATCTGCAGGAACTACTGTATTTGGTTTGTCTGCAGTTGAAGTCATGCTTCTTCTTCCGGCCTGTTGTGTGTTTGCTTTTCCCACCATCACTATCTCTACCACCAGTAACAGGTCAGCCAAAACTGACATTTCGATAAGCCTTTTGGCATCGTGTAAGGACTCATGCTCTGTTTGCAGATAAACAAAGAGCACATTAAACATCATTATTTTGGACCTTAAAGTTTTTGTGTACTGTATTAAACCTTCCTGAGCTCAGTCTAATTTATATCAGACATTAGATTAGAATATCACAATGTAACGACTAATTTTTTATCTTTTAAATGCTTTTGAACGTTCTTGTTTATGAAATCAACAAAAAAGGTAAGTATGAATTTTAAAGTATATATAAGCTAATTTGTGGCCAGTTTACTGACTGGTGACATGTAATCATCATTTATAAATAGCATATAGACCATTAATAAATAGTTAATTTTTTAGTGTTGAGATGGCTGTCTGTCATGATAGTATGTACTGAGTCGGGGCCAGTACCAGATAAGCACATTAAACTATAATCCATAAACGTAAGGTAACAACCGAGACCTAATGGTGCTGTGACAGCAACGCGATTGAGTTTGAGACAGTAAAAATACATATGGTATGTTGTATCTGAACAGGTTAGCTTACGAGCTAAAGTTACTTAGCACAGATGAAAGTTAAAACAAAGACGTTTAGCAAACTGTTAAAGCACACAAACCATCGTCATATGAGAACTCCGACGCTATGACTCTCCACAAGTTGTCCTTCAGGTCGTTATCTTTGTAATGTTTGTGTCTTTTATCAAGAAGCACTCTGTTCGACACGTAAACAATCAGCCAGTCGGCCATGTTGGATTTTACCAGTGAATCTGATGTTGCAACAACACGCAATCTGATTGGTCAGAAGTGGACACACAGTATGCAAAATTTTAGAAAAATTGACCATGATCCGAAAAATGAATGCCACAGTATTGCAGGACGGGAAAACATCGCTGATGTGAATGCTTGTGTTGACAGGATACGGGTTCGAAAAAAAATATTGACATCCGAAATAATCGCACGACAAAAACGGTCCCGGTGTGTAAGGACCT